TTCCATTTCCCATTTAAATTAATGAGCTCCTGTTTGTCAGGGGGCGAAGCCGTAATAACTTTTTTTTCATGTCTTGACCTGAGGAACATGTGTACCGAATTTCGTGGCTCTACGACAAACTTGACCTCCGACCCGCTCCCATAGGCGCAATGTAAACTGACTTTTGTAGGGGGCGCTGTTCGGGCATTTTTTTTGTCCCATAAAAATAAACACAAAAATGTTTTTTTTTTTTCGCCAGTTCTGAATTTTGGGCAAATTTCACAACTTTTCATCAATGTTCAGGGGATCAAATTAAGGTTCAAAGCGCAGAAGAAAAAATAAATAAATAAGGAATTTTTTTTTTAAATCTTCGAGCAAAAACAATATAGGTTTCCATAGTAACCTATAATACAAATGATACGTCGTTTTAAAGCGAACGACGAGGCGAACGCAACTATTGGGTTCTCGGTGATTGACGAGCGCTTCGCCGAGGCATTACTCGTTGGAAAAGCAATAGGCCCTTACCCCGGTTGGGGCTCGGGCCTAATAAACCAAGGAATTTTTTTTTTAAAACTTCGAGCAAAAACAATATTAGGTTTCCATAGTAACCTATAATACAAATGATACCGTGGTTTTAAAGCGAAACGACTTTAGGCGCAACGCAACTATTGGGTTCTCGCTGACGCGCTCGTCAATCACCTCGGCCATCATGAGGTCACCCACCTCCCCCCATAGGACCCCATTCATTACACTGTGTACTACAGCAGGAGCAAAGCCATTTTAGTGCCTCCGGCAACTGAAACAGCCGAGGAGGAGATAATTTCCAACCGACATGTGTGAAAAAATATCAATTTTCATTTTTCCATTTCCCATTGAAATTATATGAGCTCCCTGTTTGTCAGGGGCCGGAGCCATAATAACGAGTTTTGTTTCATGTCTTGACCTGAGGAACATGAGTACCTCAGGTGTACCTGCGCTTTGAGCCTCGGGAGCCTTGGGGCTCGGGCCTAAATAAATAAACCAAGGATTTTTTTTTTTAACTTCGAGCAAAAACAATATAGGTTTCCATAGTAACCTATAATACAAATGATACGTTGTGAACGCAAGTATTGGGTTCTCGGTGATTGACGAGCGCACCTCGCCCCCCCCCATAGTAGGACCCCATTTATTACACAGTGTACTACAGCAGGAGCAAAGCCATGTCAGTGCACTGTTTTTGTCAGTGTCTGGTCACGCACCGTCGGCTTGGGGGTCCGTAAGACAGTTGAAAGAACCCACCTTTGATAGGACCTCCAATCATTTCACCTGTGTACTACAGCCGGAGCAAAGCCATTTTATCAGTGATTTATCAGTGCTTGGGCAGCGTGCCGTCGCGTGCAGGACTTATGACAGTTACAACCCCGGTTGGGGCTCGGGCCTAAATGATATTTACCACATTATTATACATGTATTAATATATGCTGTGGTCCTTGGTTATAAGTGTTTGTTTAATTGCAATGATTATTAACAAATGTGTGTAATTTATTTTTAAGAAATAAATTTAAATAATTGTTTCCTAATTGTAAATCTACCATTTATTCTGGTGGAGTCCAAAACTTTAGTGCTGGACTCCACCGGCCGCGTCTCCGTTTACGTGCGTAGGCTGCTGCCCGTCAGACGTCCGTAAGCAGCGCACAGCTCTGACTGCTTTTATCAACCCCCCTTGAGGCTTTGTTTTAAATAGAAGAAGCGGTGAGTGATGTGCATGAGCTGTGACTATGATCTATGCAAAGCACGATTTATTGAAGCATCGAGGACGCTGCGATGGATGAGGCAAAACTTATTGAAAGCAATTGGAAAAAGGGGAGAGAGAAAAGCACTCCAACATATCCAGAGTTGTGAGATCTGTGTGTGTGTGTGTGTGTGTGTGTGTGGTACACTGACAAATACCCTGAAAGCTACACCTGGGCTAAGTGGACTTTTTGTATTAGACTGACATGGCCTGTGTCAGTCTAATTCAAGAGTTGCTTTTTTTAGTTTTTCCAGTCTCCTCATTTTTTTTACCTGATATGAAAAAATTGAGTTTACGTATACATCTGGCATAATTTATCTTCTAAACATACTATTTACTTGAGTTTTTAGACTGTCAGTAAGATTCCCCTCACCTGATTTTTGTGTGTGTGGCCAAATCCGGCCCGCAAATTAATTTTACATGGCCCTGCCTTGACGCACTATTCCGTCAATTGCGTTTTCCGCTATTTTCATGTTCCCAGATGTCTATTATATCTAATATGTATGGGGATAAGCTTGAGAGCATATTGAATCGAACCAGCAGGTGGCAGCAGCGCTCTCTGAATGGTTTGATGCACAGCTAAATGCACTTGTTGTGCCTCTTTTTTCTCAGCTTTTTGGTGATTTCAGTAAAACTTCCCTCTACTCAACTGGGGATTACAAGCTAGAAACAAAATTGTTTTTGCTGATGAAAGTAGACAGTCTATTCTTTCAGAATCTGGTTTCGGATTTCAGATAGTCATAGTCAGTGTTGGGTGTAACGCGTTACTAAGTAACGCGTTACTGTAACGAAATTACAATTTGAGTAACGTAGTAGTGTAACGCGTTATTATGAAAATACGTTTCATTATATTACAGTTACTACCTAAATACTTCGTTACCGGCGGCACCGGCCTCGGGAAAGCAGGGGAGAACTGCACTACCGCTCCATGCGTGCCTGCGTGCTTATGTCACGCTGCGCACATGAGCGAGATTGTTTGTAAAGCAACATGGCAGAGTCAGAGGAGAAGAGTTCTTTTTACCGGTGGAGATATGCACACTATTTCAACTACATCAGTCAAAAAGATAAAAACGTTGTCGTGGAGTGCAAGCTTTGCGCGGGCAGCAAACGATTGCCCCGTTCACATGCTCCGGGCTCTGCGCACTGTATTTTCCCTGATTTTTTTCTGTCAGGCGTGACGGCTGCTCGTGTGTGTCTGTGGGAACTAATTATTTTAAAATAGACTCTTTCAATTGCAAGTTTTGTAATGTGTTTTCTTTGATCAATGGATAAAAATAAATGCTATATAATTTAAATGACACCTTGGCCTGTCTTATTATTACCCGTGTGCCTGCGTGACAGTTCCCTGAACTAACATATAACACTAATACTAAAATAGGGTGGCGTTGTTGAAACAATTAATCTACTTAGAAGTTATCCTAAATTACAACCAGCTAAAACTCGGTACCACGACAAACGAAAAAGAAACGCAATAGTTACTTTTACTGGTAACTAGTTACTTTTATAGTGCAGTAACTAAGTTAGTAACTTAATTACTTTTTGGGAGCAGTAACTAGTAACTGTAACTAATTACTTTTTCAAAGTAACTTACCCAACACTGGTCTGCAGTACCGCGAGAATCCCCCGAGCACATGAGTTATTCAGCTACAAGCTAGTAATACCCTATCCAGTTATTATAATAGATCCATGGTATCTCGGCGTTACACCTGTAATGCACAAGAAGAAGAAGAAGAAGCAGCTTCGTTTGTGGAGGTGACGTGATCCGCAGCTTTGGAAACACTTTGATCTTTGTGCTTCATAAAGTCAGCAGCTGATTGGAGCAGAGGGAACATCTGCATGATCCCCGTGTAGAGCTCCTTCTACCACCGCAGCTGCTCCTGCTCCGTGCGATCGGTGAGTGTGTGTTATGCTAGTGCTGTTAGCATTAGCATTAGCCACAGGCCGCTAGCGTCTTTTACTGTCTGTTCAATGGACATTCATTCATCTGTTTACTTTAACTGTAATATTAACAGAGTTCTTGGAGCACGTTCACCTCCTGTGTCGTTTATTCTTGAATTTTTGTTTGTCCTTTTTATGGTATAAACAACTGTGTAACACTGAGGCCAAGACAAAGTACTTCTCCAGGACTGCACCCTGAGTCGGACTCTTTCTGGTGCCTATTATCCAGAGTCGGACACTTTTTTTTGTGGAACTCGTCCTTGTTGCCGCTTTAGCTGCTGCTAACGTTTGTTGGGCACTTTCTACATGTGTATCTTCATCTGTGGTAAGTTTTGTCTGTTTATATTAAGATTTTGATAGAGTAATCCGCGTTTGAAAGCAGTTCTGACTCTACTGCGACGGTCTGTTGTTAGTTTTGGAAGTGAAAATAGTTCTGGACCAACTTCAGAACAGCCTCAGTCTGCATCACGTCATGTTCATCTACATCTGTCATTCAGATGTAAAATACTGTCTGAGGCTTTCTAGAGGTAAAGTTAAACCTGATGTGAAATTATGAGACTAAATTAAACATTAGCAAAAGTAATATAAGTTATATTTCTACCAAATGATTGCACTTTTATGAGCGAAAATGCGTTGCCTCAATTTATGTAACAATTATTATTCAGCAAGACATAGACAGAAAGGTTGGAAGCACACAGACTCCTGCTCGGGATTGAGATTTAAAAACATAACATAAAAACATGTACCCTGTTTGACTTTGAGTGCAAGGTTAAGTGAAGAAATATTTCCAATTTTGTATTTTTCTATATATAAAAACAATTCTGAACTCTGTATTATCCTTTCACCTCTGATGAAGTACCAGAAGTAGAGGATATGAAACTGTCTGTTTTGTTATTTAAAAGGAACAAAGAAACGAGGCGGACATGCATCACAAATATTGTTGGAGAAAAGGGTAAATACTTACATATACAAAGCACATGCAAGAAACAGACCATGGGAAAACTACAGACTACAGGAAAGGTATGTTTGATTATAGACGTACAACTGCACATGTGATGTAATTGACTAAAGACATTCTTTAAATAAATGCTCTGCTTTTTAAGTTCATTCAAAAGTGTATGAACCTCTGGATGGTGTTCAGTGCATTAAAAAGATCCTCCACTGCCTTACTTGCATGGTCAAATGTATTTACATGTGTAAAACCATTCAAGACAGACAGCATGCAGGCTCCCTTCTTGTTTTTTAATGAAAATGCTACAATATAAAAACAGCATTACCAACAGCTGTCAGGTGAAATTCTGCCACTGTGTGATCAATAAAGCGCTAACTTCTCCATCTCCTCTTTCAGGACAGGAGTCTCTGAGGTGTCCTCTGTGAGGACGGGAGCCTCTGACGTGTCCTCTGTGAGGACGGGAGCCTCTGACGTGTCCTCTGTGAGGACGGGAACCTCTGACGTGTCCTCTGTGAGGACGGGAGCCTCTGACGTGTCCTCTGTGAGGACGGGAGCCTCTGACGTGTCCTCTGTGAGGACGGGAGCCTCTGACGTGTCCTCTGTGAGGACGGAGCCTCTGACGTGTCCTCTGTGAGGACGGGAGCCTCTGACGTGTCCTCTGTGAGGACGGGAGCCTCTGACGTGTCCTCTGTGAGGACGGGAGCCTCTGACGTGTCCTCTGTGAGGACAGGAGCCTCTGATGTGTCCTCTGTGAGGACAGGAGCCAAGTCTTTGACATGACAGATGAGCATGTTCCTGAAGAACCCTGATCATCGCAGCTGCAGCAGGTGAGCAAAATTCTAAGTGCATCCAGACACAAACTACAGTTTATAGATGTTTCAGCTGGAGAGCAAAGACCTGCTGTGTCCATGTCCCTCAGACCTCCATGTCCTGTCCATGTCTCTTCGAGCCAGAAATGTTTTCACATTTTGTTTAAACAAAACGAGTAATGGAAATTAAGACTGTAATAAAAAAATAGTTCAATCCATTCTCCATTTGACCCAAACAGTGATGAGTCCTGCTTGGATTGTAGACTCACTGTCATTTCATTCTGCAGTCAATATGGAGTTAGCTGAGACTAAGCCTCTCCTCACAAAGACTATGGAAGATTCAACAAACCATTTATTGATCAGTTGTTTATTACAAAAATCAAGACTGTGTCGTCTCTGACAGAGCATCCTCCTGTGGACTCCCCACCTGCAGGAGGACCAGGGAGGGGCTGGTGCTCTGTGGACTGGGTGCAGCTCTGACTGCACCTCCTGACCCAGAAATGGACTTGGGGGAAGAAGATGGATGCTTATTACAACCATTTCAAAAATTATTGACCAATTTCAATAATTTAGTAATCAATCATTTACTCTGGTGCTGTCACAAGACTAAATACTAATTCTAAATACTAGAAAACTAGTATTAAAACAATATGTTTGGGCCTCATTTATTATTAATCATGCATCGGTTTTATGGTGTTTTCTGGACACTCCAAGAAGCTTCACCTGCCATTATTCTTTCACTGCATACACAGTGATAAATGAATGAGAACCATACAAAAAATAAAATATTATCGCAGGGTCAGCAGTCAGAGCAGATGCCCAGACGTCCCACTCCACACACTTCCTCCAGCTCATCAGGAGGAATCCTGAGGCGTTGCCAGGCCAGCTGAGAGACACATGTCCTGGGTCTTTCCTGGTCTCCACCGAGAAGTGAAGTTGACTGAATGACTAAGTTTACAATCTCACCAGCTACATTAGTGCAATCAGCTGATGCTTCAAGTCCAGGGATTAAAGAGTTCCGTCTAGGTGACGGATTTCCGTCAAATGAAATTGGTCTGGAAAAAAAAAATATATATATATATATATAATGATAATAATACACACAATGAAATGATTTATTATAAAAATAATATATAGTAATACATATACGTGTGAATCTGTTTATATATATATATATATATATATATATATATAATCGATGTATAATAATAATTTGAATATAATTGTATTTATATGTATATAGAAATAATAAGTAATATAATCACGAGTGGGCCTTGAACGTGCCGTGGCCACATGAGCGCTCCGAAATGAATCAAGGCAATGGGACGTAGCTGAGCTCACGCGCAAATGAAGACGCGATGAAGTTAGCATTGGTAACACGGAGGTGAAAGTTTCTGGAAACTGCACGGAGCTTTTGAAAAGGAGAAGAGGAGGAAAATTGAATCTCAAACGGAGCAATAACAGCAGCAGATCCGCGGACTGGTAAGCTGGGCACGTAATAGACGAAAGGTAATTAACGTTTACCAAACGCAATGCTATTTTACTTAACGGAATGTAAAAAACGGACTTTGCTGCAACTGGGAATGGGGACAAACATGTCTTGGTGAGCTTTTAATATTGTCTTGTTTGCGATCTTCTTGCAAAACTCAGCGTTATGTAAAAGAGCCAATCAATGAGTCATGGTGCGAAAAGATGAAAGTGGCCGGTTCTTGTTCGTACTTTGCCATTAAAATTGCATGTATGGGAGTAATGAGAAAAAAGTTTTGATTCGCCACCAGCTCAAAACTGCGCACAAGGCAGCTGTTTGTGCACTTTCCCACACTTCATCTTTACCTGGTGCATCAGCAACAACTAACACTAGGCTTGCTCTGGCGGACCGTGTCTGTGGCTTTATCGCAGAAAATAACGTTCAGAATATCACTACCGCTGGTAGATTTATTTAAATCATTTGCAGTTGATCGAAGTGCACTGTGCACTCAAACTTGATAGGGAAACCTTTTACTTAAATATTGACGTGTCCACAAACAAATGTGGACAGAATTTTATCGTCCTTTTGCAATATTTTTACGAGGACAGAGCCAAAGGGTTGACGCTCCATATCGCCTCAAGTAAAGCTACTCTCACTAATATTCTGTCAAAAAGTTTACTCGTTGCTTGATCCACTTATATTTCATATCAAAATACACTGTATATCTTTGAAGAATTCATTTGAGCTGTATTCAATATACAATCTATTATACAATAATATATTGTAATTACAAATATAACTTGGTCCTGCATATTACTGTGATTTACATGTAATAAATTTCCATGCGAAAATTTTCAGTCAAATCTTTTTTTTTGCTTTAACCCCTGTTCAAGTCATTATCTACAAGATGAAACATTGGGACCAGGGCTTATATTGGAGGTTTGAGGGTAAATTTCTTCAGTGCAGTACAAGTACAGAGGGATACATGCCACCTCACTCCTAACATCACAACCTTTGAACTTCTGAATCCACCTGTACTTCACACTGTCTAAAGGGGGGACTTACTTTTCATGGTTTATTGTTCTCTAATGTTCTCATTTTCTTGTTTTACAGTATAACCCTTCTCATCCTCAAAAACTGAAGCACTTCCTCTTTTCATCTCCTGCATCCCTTAAGCATCTCATTGAATTTTCAACTTGGATATTTGGAGTATTTTGGGTGTGAAGATTGAGTTCCTGTCAGAGACAGCTCTTCCTTCATTGTGCATCAACATTATCTATTGTTAAATAAAGTCATACATGTTTAGGGATCAACATGTTTAAAATTCTGTGCCACTACCTAAGGACTTCATGTGTTTCATAAAAGATGATTTATAACCACTAATGTTGACATGTAAATGACATCTCTTCAAAGCTTCTGTCTAATAACGCTCAGATGGTCCAATTACAATCTTAAAGATAGCCTTTTGGAGGAAATGATCAATTAAATATGCAAAAAATTACATGCAGTTTCAATACATTTTCTAATGAAGACATTTTAAAAATGTTTTTTATTTAACAAAACATTTGTAAAGAAAGTGCAGAACTTACCAGTTGTAACAAAACAATTGCATAATGTCAGCAAGAAGGTCTTGTGTTCGAATCCCGGTCGGAACAGGGTCTTTCTGCATGTTCTCCCCGTGCCTGCGCAGGTGTCCTCCGGGTGCTCCGGTTTCCCCTACCACTAAAAACATGCTCACTAGGTCAAATCCTCCTGCTCCGGTAGTCCTGACCAAGCCGAGCATCAACATCTGGGCCTTCGCGGCATCAGGGTGGGTCAAATGCAGAGGATTGATTTGTCCTACGGGGATTAATAAAGTGCACCTTTACCTTACCACCAAGGCTGTGTCACCGCTGATGGGAGAGGCCATCTTCCTTTGGACCCACCTCCTGCCGGAGGATCAGAGAGGGACTGGTGCTTTGAGCACCGACCCACAAATGGCATGTGTAACTCCATATAAAATCTGTTTTCAGGATTTATTTGTAATAACGCAGTTTAGACCTGAAGAAATTTTTGTTATTTTATTTTAAGCTTATTTGAAGTACCTGACACAATCTCTCATCAATATTTGTAGGACAGCTATTTCTTAAGACCCAACACAAAATTGCATTAGTTATCTAGTCATTAATCTGGAGAAAGCGGTCCCCTCTTGCACCAAACTCCTCCAGAGTTGTTTGTCATGGTCCGCTTGACAATAAGGCACATGGATGCTTCGCTTATAAGGGTGGTTTCTTTTGCTTTTATCATTGTCAGCTAAGATTGTAGCATTAGCCACAGGAAACCGAAGTCTGTCTTCTTCTGCAGCTCTACGATCGCAGTTTGGAGAGAGATGATTTTTCGATGCGTCACTTTATTTTAATGCATTAAATTGAAACTATTGACTCATTTGTGTGGCTTTGTGGATAGTGTGTGAGTGAAGTGTTACTGCTCTAAAGCAGTGTTAATTTTGACAAGAAAATCTATTTTCTTTTGACTAAAATGTATTTTAGTTTTAGTCCAATTTTAGTCTACATCCATATGAAGCAATTTTAGTCGACTAAAATATACAACTTATTTTCTGAAACATGTCACTTTTGGATGTTTAAAAAGGGACATTTTTGTACAAATACGTTCAGTATTATTGCTTGTAGCATACGATAACAAACATGACTCGAGCAGTAGGGCTGGCGATATAAGCGGTATAAGATAAATATTTGTTCAACAATAGAAATTTTTGTTATTCCGGAATATTACGATAGGTCATTATGTCATGAAATTGCAACAAGCTTGGCCTGCTGGGAGCAGCAACAACCATGAGGAGCGTGGCTGCTGAAATTCGTCCCGGAAACCGGATTTGTCTGGAAGTTCGATTTGCGCATGTCAAAGTGTAAATAAACAGTTTGTGGTGTTATATACAGATTATAATATTGATTTGTGCTCATGTGTCAAGGTTTATTATGAGAAATGGCGGAAAAAAATACTTCTAGTAGCCGCACAGCTAGCGCCCAGATGCGCTCAAAGACACACGGAAACGAGGCAAACACATTGTTTGATTCTTTTCAGCCAAATGGGTGAAACGAGCGAGGCTGGTTTGATGTTTGTGCAAAGTGTACATTTCCCATAGACACAGAATGGGGAGCCTTTGTTGTTGCCACGGCAGCAGAGAAAAAAAAATTCTTGGTTGTCATTAACTTTTTGAATCAAGAGGTCAAAACAAAATTTATGTGCGAAATTTCAAATGTTTTGGAAAAACTAAATGTGACAATCCCCATGTAAAACTTTGACATAGCCTGTAGGGGGCTCTGATGGACCAGTTTCAATTATTTCACTTTCAAATGACCTAGACCAGGGGTTTCAAACCGGTTCCAGAAAGGGCCATGTGTCGGCAGGTTTTACTTCCAACAGTTCAAAACTGAGCAGGAGCACAGATGACTCGACCCATTTCCTCAAATCTTCAGGTTAAAACTGGACTCACCTGAGGAAATGGGTGGAGTCATCTGTGCTCCTGCTCAGTATAG